AAAAAAAAAAAAAAAAAAAAAAAAAGACACTTTCAAAGTCTGGACAACATTTCACAAACATTAAGGGACTTTGCCGGATAGCTCAGTTGTTTAAAGCACCGTTTGGGCAAATGTAGTCAGGCACGTAAGACTGTGGTTCGATTCCCAGCTCAACAAGCTGCATCAGACCTGGCCTGAAGTAGCAAAAACAAACAAACAACCCCCCCCCCACCAAACCCAAAAACTTCTTGTACAAACATAAGATACATCTATTAAGTAAACTGAATTGCTTTTTTTTTTTTTTTTTTTTTTTTTTTTTTCATCCTTTTGAGTCAGGGTCTTGCTATGCAGTTCAGCAGGCTAGCCCTAAGCTACTTTGCCCAGGCTGGCCTCCAACTCACAAATATCCTCCTGCTTCAGTCTCCCAAGTGCTGGGATTACAGGCAAGCACCATACCACGCCAATCAACCACTTCACTCTTACGATAAATTATTTCTGTAGGCTTGTTTTTCAAGGCAGAATTTAACTTGTAAGTAACAGAAATACCAGAAAAGTGTTTGCAAAGATCTTTTCACAAAGTATCTTTTCCAGAATGTCCTGTTCAGTTTGGATTTTAAAACCTTTTGCTAACTGTAATATACTTCACTTAGCTCACACACTCAGGGAAAAAACAAAACAACAGTATTTAGATTCTACCTTTGCATTCAGAGTATACTGCAATACACTGTAAACGAAAAAGCTGCAGAAACTTTCAAGAGAAACCCATCCCAACTTGCCCAACCACCTGCAGGGATGCGCGACCCCCGCACGTGGCCGTCCTGAGGCGTCAAAGGCCTCCGAGCGCGGCAGGTGCGCCCGCGTGCGCGCCGAGCCCTCTACGCGACAGTCCTTCCCAACCCCCGTCGGCCATCCTTCCCCGGGGCCCCATCCCGAGTCCGTTTCGGGGCCAGTCCTTCCTCGCGCGGTCCGACGACCAGCAAGGTCTCACCGGCAAAGCGAATCTTCACGAGGTCCAGCGGGTGCAGCGCCAGGTTGGAGAGGACGCCGCCGCTCACGCCGGCCACCAGGCTTTCGTAGCGGACGTGGCGGAACAGCGCGCCCCATGCAGACGCGCCGGGCGCTGCCTGGCCCTGGCCCGTCGCGGACTCGGGACCCGCCGACACCACCGCGCCCAGCGCCGCCGAAGCGGGGCGGGACGCCGTGGCGGCCACCGTGGCGGCCGTTGCAGCCCCAGAGCAGGACGCGGCGGGAGCCACTTCCGCGCCGGGCCTGGGCTGAAGAGAGGGAAAGCTCCGCCAAGGGCGACTCGCTGGCTCGGCCGCGAGGCACGCCGCGGCCCCGCCCCTCCTCGCCCCCAGGAGGCGGTGCGGCCGGAAGACCACTCCCTGCTACCCGGGCCGAGCTACGGAGCGCCGGGGGGCCCAGTCGGGCCAGCGGGGTCACGTGACGGGAAGTCGCGCGCGAGAGGCGGAAGTCGGGCGCGGGGTTGGCGGCGGCGGCGCTGGAATTGAGGGCGTAGCTCGTGCTGCGGAAGGCGCCGCCACGATGAAGGTGAAGATGCTGAGTCGGAACCCGGACAACTATGTCCGCGAAACCAAGTTGGACTTGCAGAGAGGTGAGACGTGTTGGCCGGAAGCGGGCTGGCGTCGCTTCCGCGAGGGGTCCAGGTGCGGGGCTCGCGCTCCGGCCGAGCTGTGTGCGCAGGGCTCCGGCCGCACCCGGCCGCTGCCCAGGGAGTGCTTGCGCCACCCGCAGCGGGCGGCCGTCCCCAGAAGGTCTTCAGGTTGCTGCTGTTGGAACTGGAACTGGAGCGAGTCAGACTCGTGAGTTGAAGGGCTTACGGGTTACACCGGCTTCTTGAAACTTTATTGCCCGTGCGTGGTTTCCTGCGGTACCGGGGGTCGCACTGGGGACCTTGCGCTCGCCAGGCAGGCGCTTATGCCACTGAGTTCTATCCCCAGCCCTTCAAAGATAAAATTGAAAACCATCAGTTTTCGCTTGACCACCACGCTTAAGTATATTAGGGGAAAGTGAGGTAAAATGAGATCAGTTCTAGTTTTCCTTGCCAGACTGTGCCCTCACGAACATGCCTACCCTTAGGAGTAGCAGTTCCAGCGACTAAATGACAGGGCCAGTCTTATGCAAACAGGATGGGGTGTGAAGGCCTTGGGGCCGGAGTGTGCTCCTCGGAGTTTGGGGGGTGAGCAGTGGCAGATGAGGCTGGAGCCGTGTTTCACTCGTGATGAGTAGCAGAGCGAGGGTTGTGAGCCGAGCCTTCGCGGTGTACGGTGTCGCCCCCAGGGTAGCTCCAGGCTAGGCAGCGAGACAGTACTATTTCTAAACCGGAAATTCAGTTCGTCACTGGGACTTGACAAGCGTCCTTGCCTTTGAGCCTCTGGTACCTTCCTCATCTCCAGTTTCACCAGGTCTACTTTTCCCACAAGCAGGTAATGTTGAGAGTGCATTTCCGGGTGCCCAAGGTCCACAGCCTTACCCAGTTAGCCGCTTAAGCTCCGAAACTCCCTCCTAAATAAGCGCGGGAACAGCCCTCTTCCAGGATGGAGTAGCGCTGCACTGGGCCCTCTTCCATCTCAGCATCTCTCTGCTAAGCTCCCCGCACTTTCATGCTTCTGCCGGAGTGTTTAATGACACTGTCTCATGACTGTGTCTTATGTCTTATTTGGTTAACACTCTTCCCCGTGAGACTGAGCTTGCTGAGAGGGGAGGATTCATTTTGTGAGAGCCCTGGGCCTAGGTAATACCCAACACAGAGTTTATGCTGGCTGCAGTGTTAACATTCTTTTTTTTTTTAAATTTTTTTTAATTATTTATTTATTTATGTGTGTGTGTGTGTGTGTGTGTGTGGCCAGCTCAGCCCACCAGGGGGTGGGCTGGCTGGCATGTGGTGCTGGGGGATTGAACCGCGGTCTCTGTGTTTGCTAAGCTTGTTCTAAGTAGGTTCTTTAGACCACTGAGCCATCTCACCAGCCCAGTGTTAACATTCTGATTTTACACTTTCTGGTGGAAGTATCAAAATAGAAAAATAAAAGCTTTAGTGTGCTATAAAATGTAAAATAAAGAAGACATTTGTAAGTTTTTTTGCACTGTTCATAAGTGCATAAGCATCAGGGAATCTTAGGTTTTTAAAAACTTCTTTGGTAGCTTTGATGTATGTGTGAAAAGACGTCACTATGTGCAGTGAATTTAACTGTGATGTCCTCTGAATTCATTACCTGTGGTGTCCTTGGTGCTTGTGCACGGCAGGTGCTCTGCCCGCCAGTGTTAGTTCAGTGAATGTTGTGGACTGGATGTATTGGTTGATATGTAGGCACTATCTCATAATGATCTGAAAACTGTAGAAGACTTAAGACTTGATCTAAATTTTAAATGAATATTGGATTAAGTTTTTGGTGGCAGAGATGGTATATAAAGGGGCTCATGAGTAGGACAGTGCAAGACAAATGTAGACGTGAATACACCCATTTGGTTGGGCTTGAGCTTCAGAGAGTACTTGAAGCTGAAGAGGTGAGTTGGAGCCCGATGATGAAAGACCAGAAAAGAGCTTCATTCGTAAATCAGAAGTCTAACCTGGGTGTTTCAGGCTGTTTCAGTTTGGAAAAAATAATTAGAATTTCAGTCTTTTTTTTTTTATCTTAGAAACAATTTTTATTTATTAATATTGGGGAATGTCAAATATATAATTCATAAAAATGGCCAGAGAGGGCTGTATTGCATATTGGCATAATGTACTGTTGATAAGGAGTCAGACAGTAGAGAGCAGGAAGAACTTGGGAGTGAGAAGATGCATATACTTTTTATGCACGGATTTTTTTTTATATGTGGGTTTAGAATTATTTCCTAAGCATTATTATTAACAGACATGTTTGACAGAATAGTTAAGAATGTGGCTTGTGGAGTCCACTTTGTTGGTTTGAATCCTGGCTCCATGCAAGTCACTTAATCTCTTTATCTGTGTAGTAAGAGAGTAATAGAACCTAACCCAGAAGGTAGTATCGAGATTAAAGGAATTAAGATGAGGTGTTTGGAAGAGTACAAGGAACCTGGACAATTTTCAGTGTTTTTTTTAAAGAAATAACAAGCATGGGAAGTGCCCAAGAAGTAGTAGTTTAATTTTATTTTTATTTTTATTTTATTTTATTTTATTTTTTCCCATAATTTTATTGAGAAACAAATAGCAATGAGACAGTTTCAAACCAAATTGGTAGGACAGATTCAATAATTAACACATTGCATACACTCTTCCTAGTGGTTAATTGCTGTACAAGATGCGGACATGATATCCTATTTACAAACACTATTAGAACAAATCCCTCTATTCATTAAGAGAATGTAGCTGTATAACTATCCTAACCATTTTGAATACACAGATACAAAATGGACATTCATCTGTATCCCCCTTTTTTTGTTAAGTTCCATTATTTGAATAATATAGGTGAGTAGTTTAATTTTAATATTTATTTATTTAATGTTTTTACTACAGGGTCTCATTACACAGATTGGACTTGTGGTCTCCTGTTTTCAGCCTCCCCAGCGCTGAGATTATAGGCATGCGCTACCATGCCCGGACTCTGTGGCGGCTTAGTGCACCTGGGGGCAGGGCGGGGCCAGCGAGTTCTATGACACAAATATAATCACAACGTTGAAAACCTGAAAGTGCAATGTTTAGCACTAGAGACTAACAGTTGTTCCCTGCTGCACAAGTAGCTTAACATTCAGTGAAGGCCACAGTTGTGCCCTTGCTTTGTGCCAGGCATTGTGCTATTCATTATTCATTAATGAATAATGTCGACATCCTGCCCATGAGATGTTATGACTCAGTGGAAGAGTGCAGTCGAAAACACAGAAGGAAACGCTGTGTATGGGGTATTATAGTCAGATTAGTTTTCAAGGTGTGTGCATCTCATGATTTTCTACTTGTGTATTCTTTATAGTGCTAGGCATAAAACTGTCTGGATAACAAATTACTGCAAGTGATTAGCCAAGGGGTTCTGCAGGAAAGAGTAAGTGCAAATCATTTTGTTAAGAGGAATTTTTCTTATTTCAGTTCCAAGAAACTATGATCCCACCTTACATCCTTTTGAGGTCTCTCGGGAATACGTAAGAGCTCTGAATGCTACCAAGCTGGAGCGCGTATTTGCAAAGCCATTCCTTGCTTCCCTGGATGGGCACCGAGATGGAGTCAACTGCCTTGCAAAGCACCCAAAGAGCCTGGCTACGGTCCTTTCTGGCGCGTGTGACGGAGAGGCAAGTGTCGACCTCACCTTGACACAGAACTTTAAGGCATTTTATGTTGCAGATTTCTTTTTTGTTTTACTTTGATCTAAGTTTAATTCTCAAGACTAAATTCTGTTGGATAGAATGGAGTTCAGAGTTTTTTATCTAACCTTAGGAAAGTACAGGTGTAGTAGCTCAATGCTCAACTTGACAGTAAAATAATTGTATGTATAATAAAGGTATTTAAGTGTGATTTTCACAGGGTATAATTAATGATTCAGCATTTAAATTCTCTCATAAGGCAAAAGGCCTTGAAATACTTTTTTGGGGGGTGAGGGGGCAGGTTGCACTGTGTAGCTCAGGCTGGCCTTGTACTCACTCATGATGTACAGGGTGGCCTCTAACTTGTGATCCTGCTATCAGAGCCTCCTGTCTAGCCTCCGCAGTGCTAGGTTACAGGTATATGCCACCAGGTCTGCCTGAAATACTTTAGGAGTAAGCGGTTTAATTCCAACTGGAGTCAACTTAAAGATTGTTATTTCCTGCTTGTTGACCTGTTTATATATGTTGTTTTTGTTTTTGAGACAGGATCTCACTATGTAGTCCAGGCTGGTCTTGAACTCTCTATATTACTCAAACTGGCCTTGAACTTGTGGCAATCCTTCTGCCTCAGCCTCCGGAATGCTGGGATTACAGGTGTGTACCACCACACCTGGCATGCTGCATTTATTTAACCCAAAGAACTTTTGTTTTTATCTGCCTGGTAGAGTGATTCATAGTCTTCTCAGTGCAGAATTTCTTTTTCTTCAAATGTAGTCAGTACTGTATGTGTGAACACATTACGTTTATAGTTCACCAGCATTTCCTGGTATGCTTTATTGTAGGTTAGAGTTTGGAACCTGACTAAGCGAAAATGTATTCGTACAATACAAGCACATGAAGGTTTTGTACGAGGAATATGTACGCGCTTTTGTGGGACATCTTTTTTTACCGTAAGTATAATACTGTTAAATCAGTATGCCTTCTCAACGTGTGTAAGAGCAGTCTAATTGAATAAATTGTTTTCCCTGAAACAGTTCCCTGAACACAGAAGTGGGATTACTGGGAAGTAAGGCTAGAGACGTTGTAGTATGTTAGAATTTGCCCTCTGAAAGGCAGACTGGCATCTGTAGTCTGTGTGTGTATGTGTCTGCATCCACGCGTGCACTGTGTTCTGTTTATGTTCATTGACAGAGGGATGTTTGGTTCTCACTGCTAGACTCCTGTGAAAAATGCTGCTGTGATCATCACAGTTCAAGGTAGTTTTTGTGATAGGAACAGCCAGTTTGGAGCTGTGCTTTGAGAGGATTAATTTGACAGCAGCAAGTGATCAGTTTGGAGGCTGGTTTAATAATCTGAGTAGGCAAAAGCAAGAAGTTACCTTGGGAGTGAAATCGGCGGCAAGTATTGATAAGCTGAGGAACAGTATAGAGAACTCGTAGGCTTGACAGCTGGGAGGTACCTGGGGAGGTGGTGGTCCCTGTCGTAGAACGGGAGGTCAGGAGTGTGAGTAAATTTGAGAGGGCAGTGGCTGTGACATGCTGAGTGGAAGTGGATCATCTGAGTGAAGTGCCTCTGCTCTTCACAGGGTAGATGTGGGGCCTAAGAGGGAAACCAGAATTGACCTTGACATTCATCAACACAGAATTCACAGTTGATCCATGGTGTAGCATCGGTAGGAAGAAGGGAAGGGGAAAATACAGATGTCATGGAAGTTGTGTTGTAGAATGCCTACCCCTAGGAAGTAAGGCCCAGAGCCAGAGATTGGACTGCCCTACAGACATAGACAGGCTGGGTGACGCTGCTTACCATATGTCGAAGAAGGAATTGGTGGTGGATTGGAGGGGACAGCAGCTAACACTTGCCACTCTTCCAAGTGGTTCTTCTGGAGATGCTGATTCATTTACTATCCCAGCTGGAGTACTAAGTTTATGTTGTTTTACTTCTCAAAATGAGTAAAGGCTGGTTTCAAGCATTATTTACAAATAGCCAAGATAAAGAATCAGCCTAAATGACCTTTAGCAAACAAATGAAGAAAGAAGATGTGTGCACACACAATGGAATACTATTAGCCTTAAAAGAGAAGGAAATCCTGTCTTTTGCAACTGCATAAATGAACCTAGAGGATAGTGTGTGTCATAAATGAAGGAAGCCACACACAGAAGGAAAATACTGCATAATTTTACTTCTGTGCAGTATAGAATCTGAAATTTAGTCGTAGAGTAGGAGGGTAGTTTCCAGGGGGTTTTGGGGAGCAACAGTGGGAAGATGTTGGCCAAAGGATACAGAATTTCAGATAGGCAGATAAGCTGAGGGGATATATTGTATAGCGTGGTGAATACTGTTGATAACGTACTATATAGAAAATTGGTGAAAGAGTGTATTTTAAATGCTGTCATGAAAAAGTTGAGGTAATACATATTATTTAGTGTCTTAGTTACTTTTTACTCGTTGCTGGGACAAATACCTGACACTCAAAATGAAGGAAGGAAAGGTGTATTTAGCTCACAAGTTACTGGCTCCAAGGCAAACAACAGCAGTTCATGCGGCAGAAAACAATGAAGAGCAGAGGAGGAGCAGCAGCTGCGGCGGCGTCCATCAAGCCTCTCTCTTCCTTCTGCGCTGACTGCGAAGACCAGCCTCCACAGTGAAGATCGGAGCTCCTCCACAGTGGCGCGGCTGCGAAGACCAAGCTCCTCGGAAGACTGAGATTTCTCCACGGAAGCAGGGCGGGCAGCAGGAAACCAGGCAGGGCGCCTTCCTGCCTTTCTCAGTTCCTGGGCCCTGCCTACCTGCAGGGCTAGGCCCCCATGCTGAGATCTGCTGGAGCTGATTCAGCCAAGTTGACACAATGTATCAACTAACACACTTAGTAATTAAATAGTAATTCCGTAGTGTATAATTTGTCAGTTGAAAAAATGAAAGTAGACTAAAAACAGTGAATGTTTTTCCTATTCATTCATTCTCCCTCCCCCCTAAGTAGTGTTTTGTCATAGATAAAATGTATGAAAACTAGCCCCGGTGGCTTCTGTTCCTGGTGGTAGGGCGTCCCGGCTGGCGCGCTGTAACCGGCAAGATGCTGCGTAGTCTGCTGGCTCTCCGGCAGCTTTCTCAGAGGACCATCAGCACTGCTGCATGCAGGCATTTTGAAAATAAAGTTCCACAGAAACAGAAGCTTTTTCAGGAGGACAATGGAATTCCAGTGCATCTAAAGGGTGGGGTAGCTGATGCCCTCTTGTATAGAGCCACTATGATTCTCACAGTGGGTGGAACGGTGTATGCCATATACCAGCTGGCTATGGCATCGTTTCCCAAGAAGCCGGAATGATTTCAGGCAATTCAGTAATTTCGTGGCTCAGTTCCAGTTGGCTCTCTGGATCAGTAATACGATAAATAACTGAGCTTTTCGTTGGGGATCAATATTTATCGACTTGTACTAATTGTCACCAATAAAGCAGTCTTTAGTTTTGAAAAAAAAAAAAAAAGTATGAAAACTTGCTGGCATAGTTTTAGCACTTGAGGTTTTTTTTTTTTAAACATTCTTTTTTTAAAAATTTTATTTATTTGTGTGTGTGTGTGTGTGTGTGTGGCCAGCTTAGCCCACCAGGGGGCGGGGCTGCCTGGCATGTGGTGCTGAACCGCAGTCCCTGTGCTTTGCTAAGCTTGTTCTAAGTAGGTGCTTTACACCACTGAGCCATCTCACTAGCCCAGCGCTTGAGGTTTTAAAAAATGTTTATACAATGTTACAAAAAATAAACCTTTATTGTCTAATTTTCATAGTACCTAAGCTGTCACAGTTGGTGGCCCAGCAACATACCCAGCCTGGAGATAGCATGTCCTAACCCAGCACATGCCCTGTGTGCAGAGTGCTGGTCAGCTTCTCCAGGTGGTGGTCTGCTGAGGCTTGTGCAGTGCGGCTTAGTGTCTTTCAGCCTTGAGCTTATAGAGACCTTAGCAGAGCTTCGATGAAGGGAAACTGACTTAGGGGAGATGTTGTTCAGTGACACTGTTTGTCCTGTTTTCTATACAAACTGATATACCCCATTGGGCCAAGCCAGATCAGCCTAGCCCCAGTTATTTAGATTTTATCTTCCTGCATCCTGGGAGAATTTAGTTCCAAAGTTGAGTTTTGGTATACTGTCAGTAGCTTAGATTCAGAGTTAGACATAGACTTCTACTTGATATTTTTTTGTCTGTTACAAAGAGGTTAATGATTCTTAAGTATCCCCAACAAAAGAAATTTCTGTGTGATTCTAGTACTTAAACATCTCTAAATGGGTTTTTAGTTTTTTGTCCTGTGCACTCTGAGTGTTTTATAAAAAATATTTCCCATTTTGAATTTGCTAAGGAACTAAATTTATATTCCTCTCATAGAGAAATATGCTATGCTTTTATATTTTTATTAACAATCAATATAGGTTGTGTATAATTCTAGAAATGTAAACTTCCAAGTTAAAGCTAGTAGTTTGAGCATCCTTAATCAGAAAGGCTTAAAAATATGGAACTTTTTTTCTTCTTACTTTGAGTCCTAGCATTATATCAGAAGTGAAAAATTTCATACTGTTGAACTGTTTCATGTACACAATTATTAAAAATTTCCTATAAAATTACCTTTAGGATTTGTATGCGAGTTGTATATGAAACAAATGAGTTTGTGTTGGGTCTCATCCTCAAAATACTCCATTAGATTCACGGAAATATTCCCAGCTCTGAAACATCTGTGGTCCCGAGCATCCTGGCTAAGGGGTCGTGTGCTTGCTAACTCAAGCCATGTTATCTTATACACTTTCACCGTCTTACCTTAGAGCTCACAGGCGTGTCTGCCAGATACCCAGCACTGAAATCTGAACCCTGTAGGTTGTTGGCTTCTCATGGCTTGGGAACGGTTCCTACTCTTTGCAGCTGTCTGTACTAACCTGGTGGGCCCCAGATGTTCTCAGATCCCTAAGGAGGCTCTGGAGTCCTGTGCCGGGCAGGGGAGGGCTGTGTTTACCCCAAGATTATAAAAATGTCTTCTGTGGTATTTTCATTTTTTTGTGTGTCTTATGTTGGAAACTTTCTGGAATTTTATCATTATGTAAAGCATCAAACTTTTTAAGTGGTTAAATATTCCAGTACCATTTTATTAAAATGAATTTTTCTCCTAAATTTAAAATGCCATCCTCATTCCTAAATGTATTTGTTGCATTATTTTTGACCTAACTCTGCTCCTATTCTCGTTCTTCCTGTACTTGTACTATTTCATTTTTAACCTCATGTACTAAAATCATGCACTTGTCACGGTCTTTGCCATAACAAGGTGGGAGGGATATAAACGTATCAGTAAATATAGCAATGGAAGGATATTGTGTATATTATACACAACATAAAATAAAATGGCAAGTTTTCATTCCTACTGTAATTTATCATCACTGTAACTATCCAGGTTGGTGATGACAAAACCGTGAAGCAGTGGAAGATGGATGCACCAGGCTATGGAGAGGAGGAGGAGCCACTGCACACAATATTGGGAAAGGTACAAGAGTCAGCTGGCTCATATGTTGCCTGTTCAAGTTATTTTCTTTTTATGTTAATTCATTTTTCTAATTTCCAAAAAAGAAAAAAGCATGTAAATAAGAAATAAGGGGGCCGGGGAGATGGCTCAGTGGAATAAGTGCTTCCCTGGCAAGCGCAAGGGCCTGAGTTCAATCCCCGGTTCTGGAAAAAAAAAAAAAAAAGAAATAAGAATCTTTATTCTGCAAAAATGGACCTGTTTTAAGCAACATTTAATGCATCTAAGGTCCTCTACAGCTAAAAGAGTTTGAGCCAGATCTTTAATATTCAATGGATAGCATTTGATTTCTATTTTTAGCTAGGGGCTGCAATGAGACGTTTCTTTTAGGGAGGTGGTGAGGAAAGTGTACATCGCAGAGGTTACTCCTCTGGTTTGTATAATCCTAGATCTCACAAGAAGCTCAGAGTTTATTTAGATGCTTGAGAAAATGATGAGATGTGCTAATATGATGCTTCTTGTCTAGATCTGATTTATGTTCTTAAAATTTTTTCTACAGCTCAGATAATGTGGTTTGATTATAGCTTATAGCCTTAATATAATTCAGAATATTTGGCTTAGCCATGTTTGGTAATCTTATTTATTTATCTTAATGTACTTGGTTGTTGCAGGGTCTCACTGCACAGCTCAGACTTGTGGTGATCCTCCTGCTTTCATCACTAGGATTATAGGTGTGTGCCACCACACTTGGCCTGGGGGGCCGGCTCATTTTGCCCAGGGGCGGGGCTGGCACCGCATGTGGTTCCAGGGATTGAACTGCGGTCCCTGTGCTTGCCTAAGCTTGCCTAAGCAGGCACTTCAATCCACTGAGCTGTCTCTCCAGCCCCCAGTGTTACCTTTTTTAATATTAAGCAGACAAAATTCTAAAGTTAGGTTTAATCTAACTATATGCATATTAACAATGACTTTGTTTCAGTGTTATGGTTAATGCGTATTTAGGTTCTGCGTGAGGTGTCAAGCAGTGCTAAATGTTCTTAAAGGCACAGAAAAGTGGGAAATGACTATGAAGTGAAGATAATTCCCAGGAGTAAACAAAATAGTAATTCTTAAATGAAATTTCTCGTTTTTATAAAATGTCTTATCTCTTTCTGATATTTTTTTCTCCTTTAAAGAAAGGCTTCAGAGAAGTTTCATGACTAGGGATTTCCTCAAAAAGTAAAAATTGGAGTCTAAATAAATATATTGAAAGTACTGTTCTGCAGAGTGTGCTACAGGAGAAACAAGTCTGAGACAGCCTGTTTGCTTTTACAGACAGTGTACACAGGAATCGATCATCACTGGAAGGATCCTGCTTTTGCCACCTGCGGACAGCAAGTGGACATTTGGGATGAGCAGAGAACCAGCCCTATATGTTCCATGACCTGGGGGTTTGACAGTATAAATAGTGTTAAATTTAACCCAATTGAGGTAATGTTTTAGAAAAAAATTTACCTATTATTTCTTTATTGTTTAATATTTCAGCTCTGTTTACCTCACCTTTGAATCCAGAAGTTGAGAGATAAATGTATTTCTTGACTTTTAATGGCTTTCTGGCATTTGGTGAGTTTTCAGACTTACATCTGATTTTCTCAAATCCCAGCGTACTTGCTTGAAGTTTTATTCTCAGCGTGAAGAAGCATCATTAGAGGAAGGGCATGTGCAAGCTCAGGCGGATGGAAGCCAGGCAGCACTCGTGCTCCCCAGGCTGTGTGATTGCACTTTTAGGAAAATGTTAATTTTTCTTAATGCTCGTGAAGGTCAGAAAAAGGATCTTTGAACATTGTTTTCTCTGTAACTCACAAGAGTACTGGTGGAGCTGGGGAGATGGCTTAGTAGAAAAGTGCTTCCCTGGCAAGAGTCTGAGTTCAATCCCCAGTTCCTCAAAAAAGAAAAAAGGTACTGGTGATACATCATAATGTAATGCATGGTAATTAGTTATGTTTTTCTTTGCTCAGAAATCTGAGTTGTAATTCCTACTTCCTTGATGGTCTAAGAGAAGTGTTAGAGACGGTCTGCTCCATCTTACCTGTTCAGGTGTGAACTTGAGGGTAGAGGCAGGCCTGCAGTCTGAGCCCTTGGACTCTAGACCTCTCCCTGATTATGGAACAGCAAACAAATTCATTGTTCAGAAGGTGCTATAGAGGTGTTTTTTTTTTTTTTTTTTTTTGGGCAGAGCCAGGGATTGAACTCAGGTCTTTGTGCTTGCCAGGGAAGTGCTTATTCCACTGAGCCATCTCCCCGGGCCCTATAGAGGTGTATTTTCCTTCAGAGAGAAAAGCAAATCTCTACACATGTAAGCTGAATTTGGAAGTTACTGGGAGGCAATGGCATGGGAAGGCCTAAGAGAACATCCCAATGCACAAGTCAGGAAGCAGACTGCCTTGTGGGAAGGGAGAGAAGGTCGGGGAGGTCACCATGGCTGGGTGTGAGCCTTGCTGATGTGATTGAGCAAAACAAGGGGCCCTGCCAAGAAGGTGGACACTTGGGAGATCCCTTCCCGCGGTTAGCTTGTGCCCGCATCCGCGCTTTGGGGAGTAGCTGCAGGTCCGGAGCTGGGGCGCCAGGCTGTCTGGGAGTGAAGTGATCCGTGCCTGGCTGATGGACTGCTGTACTAGGACTTAGCTGAGCTCTCTCGCTTGCACACTGCCTGGCTGCTTTGCAATAGTGGCACAGTGGAGCAATCTGTAAAGCCACATGGCCCACCAAAAGGAAAATACTCTCCGCCTTTCCCAGAAATGCCATGATGATCCCTGGTCTCGAGAGCAAGCATCTGTGCAGCACTGTGCTCCCTGCCTGCCTAGGGGTGGCCTAGGGGTAGCCTGGGGGAGACCTCGGGGAGACCCGCTACAGCAGCCGCTTGTAGGAAGCCGTGTGTCATGCACAGCAAGAGGCTGAGCTGAACTGCAGTTCTTGCCCTTTGCTGAGATTTCTCCAGGTCACAGCTCTCCACGCTGGTTCCTTTGTTGTAACATGAGATTAACTTACCTCCAAGTGTAGTTTGTAAGTTTGTATTGTGATATGTGTGAACACTTTAAAAATATGGTACTAAAATTCAAGTTGGCAATGTTACTACTATGAAAAACAAACTCAGGACAGCAATTTTTTAAAGGACAGACAGAATCTTTTGGCTTCCTATTTTGGTGAGCGTCTATGTGAAAGGGTTGATGGCCAGTTTTTTGTTCATTTTTTTTTTTTTTTGCGGAACCGGGGATTGAACTCAGGCCCTTGCACTTACCAGGGAAGCACTTATTCCACTGAGCCATCTCCCTGGTCCCAGATGGCCAGTTTTGAAGTCATACTTCTCGTCATGGCCTAGTGCACATTTCTCAACTTGCTGAATAACAGCGGTTCTGTTTGTTCAGCTGTGCGCGCATGCGTGTATGCATTCTCATTAGCTTTATGAGGTGACGGAAAGAAAATCGTGTGCAGGGCTCTTATTCATGTTAAATTGAATGGAAAGGGCCTGTTGCTCTGAACACATGCAGTATGTTTGTCTGCTCTCATTAATAATTAATTTCCTGCTAAAATATTGAAGCCTAGCATCCTGGCGAAGCGAAATGTTTATGCTGCGCGTCGCCCTATAGTACAGTGTGAAGCTGGCTTTCAGTCCACGTGGGATGTTTGGCTTTGCTTGGTAGGAGCCTTCGCTAATAGCAGTGGAGCTAGTCCTTCACTGCATGGACAAGAAGGACAGGCAAGAAAGGGGTGGAGGAGTCACTGGGACAGGCTTCTGGAGAGGCCTGAGAGGAGGGCCCAGCTACGTGCACAGCGCAGTGGGAAGAAGCCAGCCACAGCCCCTAGTGACTTTTCTTGTCTCCGGCTGTCTCGCAGTAGGAGTAACAGGAGGCAGAAGCAGGATCGTGGGTATCAGGAGCCCTGAGGGAGGAGACTGGTGCCCCGAAGAGCTAGGCTTCTGGCTTCTACTGGATAGCAGAGGGCTTACTCTACTTCATGGCAAGGTCTCTTTCGGTGCCTCGAGTACCTGAAGTTAGTTCACAGGCTGGGTGGGTTGGCAGGTTCCCATTTTCTCAGGTGCTCAGGAAGCTGAGGCAGGAGGATTGCAAGTTCAGAGCTAGCCTGGGTAACTTAGTAGGGTTGTATTTCAAAAATGGCTGGGCATTTTGCTTAGCAAGACCCCGGGTTTAATCCCCAGGAATGAAAAAGAAAAAAGTTAAAATATTTGAACATTTTAACACAGCTGGACAAAGGACAGGTCTGATTGATAGAGAGTTAACAAAGAGAAGGTAATATTTCTTTTTTTTTTTTTGCGGAACTGGGGATTGTACTCAGGCCCTTGTGCTTGCCAGGGAAGCGCTTATTCCACTGAGCAATCTCCCCAGCCCCTAATATTTCATTTTTAATAAAAAAAAAATTATATTTAGGAAATACTGCCATACAAATATTAACTTGTAAATGATGTTACTTAGTGCTGCCCAGTGCAGTAAAATTGGCATATTGTCACACTGAAGAGAAGATGGGTGCAACTCTTTGAAAGATAATTCTAGATATCAAAAACCATAATATTGTTTATATGCATTTTGTTACATTGTTACCCCTGGAATTTTATCTGAATGTAGTAATTCAAAAGTAAAAGTCAAATATGTGAGTGTTTTTGGAAGTGTTATTTATAATGAAAAGCAGTGAACAAGCCTGGTTTGAAAGAGATAAGTAAAATACGTTGTTATAAATGGGAGCGGGGGCTGGTGAGATGGCTCAGTGGTCTAAAGCACCTACTTAGAACAAGCTTAGCAAAGCACAGGGACCGCAGTTCAATCCCCCAGCACC